AGCACCGGTGGGAGTCACTCACGGCGTATGCTTGATGACCGAACAGAGTTATCCATGCGCCGAAGGTCGGCCGTACGTTGCTCAGCATTACAGCTCTACCCCATTCATCATTTCGTGCGTGAGATGCACCCGTAAGCAGGTTTTACTTCCATTTTAAACACGATCGTCTTGGCCGTCGCCGACTTTGAAATAACGATGTAAGCGTGTCGAAACGGCAGTCGTAAAGAAACGGGTAGCACTGTAGCTTTTAAATATGCACCTCGGCCGACCGTCGTCGGTCGGCCGAGCATTTCCACTGAAGCAGATTCGTGGTCACCGTTGCACGTTCTTTTGTTGAATCTTGAACATGCCTTCTCGCACGTTGCACGGATTATTTCAAACCAGCGCCGTTAGAGTAACGCGTACATCGGTGTTTATGATTTTCTAGACTGCTCGTTTCATCTGAGGAACGCCAACACCAAGGGCATGGTGGACAGCAGTGCCAGTGCCAACAGCACCTTCGACGACTTCGAGGTGCAGCAGGACACCTCCTCGCTGATGCAGTGCGTCCACCGGTGCGCCGATATGCATTGCACGCTGGCCGCATACAGCCGAAAATCCGCAAAGGGCAACTGCCTGCTAACGAATAAAACCGTCGCTGCCGCGACCCAAAACTGCCAGCAACCTCTGTCTGAAGCTACCGTGGAAACCGACGGAGAACTGCCCATACTCATAGACTGCGTCAAGTGTATAGGATAAATCTGTACACCTGTTTAGATGATATAGGTTTAAAGTGTCACATGCTGTAATAAAAAACCTTTACCTACGAACCACAGCCTGAAGTTGTGGTAAATTCCTTGTCGAAACAGTGCATAACGGTGTTCTATGACGATAACTTCCGGTGGAGAACGTGAGGCAGTCGGTAAAAAGCGTACTATCAACTTAGGGGTGCAAAGTTCAGGTCCCACGAGCAGCGTAAAATTTCTTTAACTGTTAATTCCTGTGAGCAAGAAACTCACCCCACTTTGCTTCCGTGCAGCTAGTCAAGAAAGACTGACATAAACAGTAGGGGCAGATGATGTTGTGTAATCGTGCCGCAGCATGAGAGATACGATCCCGTAGCTTTGTGCCTTAAGCCTGCGATTCGAATCAACCCTTCTGATACCTGACTAAACTTTAACCAGAACAAGACGTTAACCAGAGAAAACGACAGAAAAGACATCTAAAGTTAAATGCCTTAAATAAAATTAGGGGTGTTGTTTCGACAAACATTGAATAGCGACGTTTAAGGAAGCTGAAATTAATATCGGTAATAATGTAGAGAGGCGCAATTTTCCTTTCTTTCAGTTTGTTTGTCTTTGGAAGGGTTTCTTTACATATTAGAGATTTGTTTAAGATCTGTCGAACATTAAAAACTACATCAACGGAGTACGAAAGAGCTTAGGGCTTTCAAATACAAAATGCTGATCAGTCCGGTTCCGCTGTTCATGCCCTGGGGTATGGTCATGACTTTAACAACAGTGGTGGTCGATCGACACCGGGACAAACTGAGGCAGTTAATGTAGAAGTACCTACACGTGGCTTCCATTTAAAATAGAACTTGCAACGGTTGCGTTGGCTCTATTGACATTTCCGTGGCACGAAGCATGATTAATAGCGTAATTGACCACCGATCTAGCGTCCAACCACTCAGGTTCAAACACAATCTGACATAGCAGATTTTTTTATTTTCTGTTCATTCCCATTTCGGTCGAAGTATTGGAATTCTCGTAGATAAAACTTTCTTTTCGCTTCTCGTGCTGTCAACAATGCAATCACCTTCATAACAAAGACTATCCAATTATTATAATTCACTTCAGAAATTAATTACCCGCGGTTGCTTATTTGTCATATACCTGTTTATTCCGCAATTAACCCGCATATATGAGAGCTAGTGCACAATCTGCAAACTGTGGAGGTATCAGGTTGCAGTAGAAGTTGCCTCAGCAAAAGGACGGAGGCCAGAATATAATATCGTCAACTGCACAAATGAGTTTGGCCGATATTATAACAATAGATTTGATGACAGGAGGCCAAAATTGGTTAGATTTGTTGGCGGCTTCTTCCAAGAGTCCGAAACCCCTAAAAGTGGCTAAATGAAAAAGATCTGAGCATAGATCTGGTAAAATTCGTGAGCGATAGTTCAATACAAATGAAGAAACTTAGTCAGAGCCAGAGAAAAGACTGTCCTAGTGCGGTGGAAGCAACTGATTAGATCCATCTGTGTGAAACCAGCAAGTAAATCGGGACAGATTTTTGGGTAATTACAAATATCTCGTTCTTTCTACCGATGACAAAAATTGTACAGCAATATTTAGGTACCTAAACTTAAACTTTCGTAACACTCCGTCAAATATTTGCTTACAAAGAGAGAACGAAAGGTTGGTTGATGCATCCCTGCCAAAGATATTCTTAACACAAAATACTGCAACACTTTACTGCAATTCAAAGTACACTAATCAATAATTTACCGACTTGGAGAAACAAATGTTTTTACATACACGAAAGCAAACTTTAAACAAAAAACAGCGATAGGTGAACTTTGGCAAAGGAAATTTTGTTTCATCAAAACAAACCCTGAAACAATTGTGCATGATTTTCGTGTTTCTACTGCAAGAACCCGTCAACAGATTCGATATCACGGTGCATAGACATGAACGAATAGCACCTATAACAGAATTTCAAGTGCAAGAGTAAACCGAGAATTTCAATATGCGCCAGTAATAACAACCACATGGTAATAAATGTACAATCTCAAACCAGCAAGAAGGTATTTGATGACCTAAGAACAATAACAATTTTCTAAATAATATTCTCTAGCGTATTTGTACTAGTTCCTGGTTATCCGGAAAATATTCAAACTGAACAATTGTCACGCTATATTCCTAATGGGCGACGACGCACATTTATTTCTGTATGCTAGCCTTCTGAAAGCCACTGCGCTAGTAGCATCTTCCGTAAGTGTAGGCAACTGAAAACACAACTATGACCTACGAAATCTGGGCATCAGCGTTTAAAATTATGAACAGTTCATGTGATATGTTGTAACCAACACTGGTTGTCGTACGGTTCTCACGATAAACTTGACATATCGACGGCCACTAAACTCATGTACATGGGAATGAACTAATGCAACTGGTTTTTTGTACTGTAACTTTGTAACACTTCACAAAAAAGGAGATATATATTGACAATCGTGCCATCTGAACCACCTAAAAACCATGTCGAACCATGCAGTGATCAGTGCAAATATGTGCATACCTTGTTATTAGACTCATATAACCTTTACTGAGTTGGATCAGAGCAAAGCTTCGGAACAAATTAGCCGTATTACATAAAATTAGCCATATTACATGAAACACATCAGCACCTAGATACTGCAATACCAAAAAGCTACTAGGTATAGTTCCATGTACTTTGGTCTCACTTTTCTGAATTGTACGAAATCTTAAAATTGGTATCCTTTAATACGCACATTTAATAGCCATGATCTTCTGCATTTGACATAATATTCTAATATTTTCAACACATCAAAATTATAAATCTGACTTTTCTCAATGCAGATGGAACTGGGCGTGATATAAGATACTCTTTTATTCTATTCCGGTGATTAGGCTTTCGGTACAGAAATCATCACACCAGGGAAATTTCTTTCATAACAAATTGTGCTGTGAAAAATCTCCTGATGATGGTTTCTATGCCTAAAGCCCAAACATCGAAATAAAATAAAGAAGCATCTTATGCCATGTCTAAAGCCATTTGCACTGAAAAAAGTGAGGAGATACCTTACATTAATAGCTAATACGTCATTTGCATAACTTTACACCATTTTC